CCACCAACCTGCCTTCCCTTTGCACTCTGGCCTATGTGCTTTCCTGTTGCTTGCCGTCCAATGCATTGATATGCCTCACCTTCCAAGTGGCCTCGATACTTGTGATGTTACCTGTTGACCATCCGCTTACAACAGGGGTTAAAGCAGATCCTGACTCAAAACATCTTTTTTTTTTTTTTTTTTTTTTTGGGAAAACATGCCCCCGCCAGTGTTAGTGGTGCTGATAAGAGCAGACACCACTAGCACCCGGGGAGAGGCTCCATCTATTGGTGGGGAGCATCACATGCTGGAAAACGGGTCCAGCATCCCATATACAGATCCTGACTCAAAACATCAATATGGGGTTTCGGCAAATCGTTGAGGGTTCAGCCTCCTGACAAGTTGGTGCAAGTCTGCCACCGTGGAAGCCAAGTAGTCACTTAATGGCCGAACGTCTGTCATCACCCAGGGAACACATGGATACAGGGATCCAAACACCCCCTAACAGTATTGTAGGCGCTCCGATCAATAAGGCACAGATTATTTGGCACATCTTGAAGGTCTTCGCTTAGACACAGGAGAAGCACAGGAAACAAACAGAGAGCGCACAAAGTGGACAACAGAGAAAACACTTAGAATGAGAAGAAGAAAAGGAAAGCTATTGTTGAACATCATTGTGTGTGTCATGATGATGATGATGATGATGTGTGTGTGTGTGTCATGATGATGATGATGATGTGTGTGTGTGTGTCATGATGATGATGATGATGATGGTGATGATGATGATGATGATGATGATGATGATGATGTGTGTGTGTGTGTGTTATCATGTCCGCTATACACAACTCCGCGACAAAAAGCATATGACTATGCCAGACTGTTTCACCGTACTTTCACCAACTCATCAGGAGGTTTGCAACATGGCAGAGTGTGTGTGTGGGTGGGGGGGCGGGGGCGAAGGGGGGGGGGAGTCTGTGTGTGTAAAGTGTATACAACACCACAAAGCAGGACTGTGATAGATTGTTTCGTCAGACTTTACTGCATCATATGAGGTCGAAACTTTTTTTTTCAAGCCACAGCTGCAACACATTAATTCCACGTCATTAAAGGAGGTTGAATCTTGACAGCCCGTTCAGGAAGGATTTGACTGATTCATTCAGACAAACATGCAACCTTGCCGGAAGTGAGAGATACCCCGAAGAGAAGTGGCTTTGATCCAAGCAATACCCTGAGAGGGGAGGTGGCAGGCCCTAGAAAGCTAGCTTATAAGAGCCCAGAAAACGGTTTCAGTGTCTCTTGGCTCAGGACCTGACAAGAGAGGCAACAGGCTCACGGAGGTGAGTCCATCAGAGCCCATACAAGTTAATTAATGCGTTCGTCACATGGATGACATGAGTCCCATCATTGGGCCCTCTCCTCTTCATAATGCGGTACTTCTATAATTCGAAAAAGAGATTGTTTAAATTATCTCATTCATCTTCTCAACGACTTAAAGGTCGATTAGACCCACTTGTACCCCGATGCGTCAAAATCTGTAGTGCACTGATACTTCAGGCCCAAACCGCACTTTAACCAACGCTTTAACCGCAACACGCTTTAAGGAACCACTGTTCCCAGTACCAACGCTAGAGGGAGGGCTTGAACCTCCGACCTTGTGGTTAACAGCCACACGCTCTAACCAACTGAGCTACTCCAGCTCATGTGAAACATTGCAACCCTATCCTTTACAACGTGTCGTGCACCACTCTGAATTAGCAGACGGAAATGGCTCTCTTCCCAAATCATCCGCTCTAACCAACTGAGCTACTCCAGCTCATGTGAAACACCGCAACCCTATTCTTTACAACGTGTGTCGTGCACCACTCTGAATTAGCAGACGGAAATGGCTCTCTTCCCAAATCATCAAAACCGGAAGTCTCAATGTATGCTCGACGGTGGATTACCAATACTTCAACCGTACAGAACCTGAACACGCATTCTAGCATACGAAGATTAATGCTAGAGGGAGGGCTTGAACCTCCAACCTTGTGGTTAACAGCGACACGCTCCAACCAACTGAGGTACTCCAGCACATGCTGGGAAATGTGAACCCACTTCTTACTTCTAAGTTTGCAGCCGGAAATCTTCGGACGGGTGTCATCATCTGTCATGGCTCTGTTCTGGAGAGCATTATACTTTCCCAAATCATCAAAACTGAAAGTGTGTTTTTCGAAGTTCACCAGACATGAGACAAGCAGTACAGTGTCAGTTCGCAATATGTATGAGGAGGGAAAAGGAAAAGGGCACGAGCAACACAGCACATCCTTGAGGCACAACCCTTATCACCTTCCCCCAAACATAAATGTATGCGAGCCATCATTCTGTAGGTACTGCAACTAACTTGGCAGAACCAGAACGGGGGGCTTGAACCTCCAACCTTGTGGTTAAAGCAGCAATTCACACTAGCCAAAGTTGCAAGAGCTACCTCCCAGCGTTCATGAGCCTGCAATGTTTACCTTTCAAAGTGGCCTTCCACTTTTGGAAGGAGTGGCCCAGCCCTAGCTCCCAATTCACTCGGCCACCACTAAGGAAGGGGCTTGAACCTCCACCCTTGTGCTTAATTAACCCCCCAGATCACACGAGCCTAAGTTGACGGGGCTACCTTCCGACGTTCGTGAGCCAGCAACTTTGACATTTCAAAGTGGCCTGCCGCTTTTGCTACCAGCTCAGCCCCGAATCAAAATGCTGATACCGCGTGTACTGGTAAGAGCACTACTTAGGTCTGTGTGAACAGGCCCTCCCTTCTTCATAGTGTCGTACTAAATACGACAAATGCACAGGTGTAACTTTTTGCAGACTTACGTAGTGCAGCACTCACACATGTTCAGCAAGCCCGCTTGCTGAACTCCATCCAATTGGTTACCGCATCTGGAACAATAGAGAGGGGGCTTGAACCTCCGACCTCGTGGTTCACAGCCACGAACTAAGAAATAGCTACCACCCTTGCACATCATTTTGCTGAATGCCCGTATGAGTTCTGGAGATAGAATGAGTACCAATGCAGTCAGGGGTTTAATATCGCAGCGTAACCACATCGTCAAGGAACATGAAGCACATCTTCATGGTACAGACCTTCTCACGGACATCTTCTCGAGGATGAGCATTGTGCTTCTCAAATTTTGACAAATGAAGTGTGTTTTTGAAGGTTCACCAGGGGCACGGTCCCACTACCACCACGTAATGACCACCCTGAGGCTCGCCCTGTGTGACAACAAGGGAAAAAACAAAAACATAATAATTCAACAAGTAGGGGGAAAAAAAAGAAAAAACACTATGAATATCAAGCGAACCAATTTTCACTCTTCTGTATTGCTTCCCTCTGTGTCATCTTTGATCCACTTCTTCTTCAGAACCTGCATGTCTGGGCATGAACTCTGTGGGAAAGGTTTTCCATTTCTCTCTCTCTCTCTCTCTCTCTCTCTCTCTCCTGTCTCTTATACACATCTAGATGTGTATAAGAGACAGGTGTACAGTCGCGCACAAAGAGTGTAGTATGTGCT